GTGGAGGAACTGCAAATTGGTATCATCAAAAAGGCTAAGCACTGCGGAATGAAGACCATAGGCGGAGATCGACTGACTGTTCATAATGTGGTAACTGAATTCGCATATGCTCTTCCAACATTGGCATATTGATTATGTATGTTGCTCTTGAATAGTTATACTTTTGCACTAATTAAGTGACAGTTTTATAAAGGATTATGCATAAAATTGACTGTTATTAATTCAGGATGGGTGATCGAGTGAGTAGAGTCTTGGTTTTAGGTATCATCGGGGTGTACGTAATGACCAGCGTCAAACTACGAACTTCAAACTGGGATAATCTGAAAACTCTTGATGAGGGGTATGCAAAATTTACATGAAGGACCTATGTACTTAATCATATCATCATGTACGTGCGTGCCATTTCAGTAGCGATAGATCAGCAGTTTCTCATAATCTCTTGTCACTGTCCCCCTTCTCTTTTTTTGCGCTGTTTAAAACCACTGTTTAATGATATTTTACCACATAAAATGCATGATATCATTGCAAAAGCGAAGAATTTGAAATGGCAATGGTCAGAACGTTGTATATTGCAAGAAGGAAAGACCATCTCCGAATCAAACGGATTTCTGACTGGGTTGCAACAGTCAAGTAACGGCCAAAAGGAGCACTTCCACATCGACGGCACGCTGATTTGATGACAGTATTTGGAACAACATACACGCGAAGGGCAAGAGATTGAAATTTGTTGCGAATATACAACAATGGGTGAAAAAGGCTGATATGATATGGCGGTTTATCCAGATACACTACGTACTTCTGAGTATGCGCCATTATGCTTAATGAATCGGACCTAATGGTAGGGTGATCGACGCATTCTCCATATTAATGAGTGCTAGTACCGAATCGGCACGCGTACAGCTAACACGGCATTGTTTGTGATGAATCGATGGACCCGGTTATGAGATCTTAAAACAAACCTCTTTCAAATAAGGACATTTTGAACTGAAGATCGTTCATAGAAGGCTGAAATTTTCGATAGCCGTCGATCTCCGGCTCACGGAGACAGACGCATCCTACTGTATCATATCCAACTTTCCCGATCCTGCACCAGCGTTTGACCTTCAGCAGAAAACGACCGCAGTTTACAGCAAAGTCGTTCGGTGCACTTGCCCCAGGTTAAACTTTGTCATCACCGGGGTCTTCAGTCGGTCAGTTGGGTAAGTAGTCATGGTGGAGTTATTTTATACGTTATGTCCGGCACTGAAGTGGTAGATCTTAACTGAAGGATGCATCTTTGTCAAGCCTAGCTTTTTGGCACTTCCGTTAGTTTTTTTTATTTTACCTTTGTCAAACGTAAAGGATCCTTGATGGATAAGTATTCAGGTTTGGTAATGATCTACAGTTATTTTTCTTATTTCGCTATTGAAATGAATCGTCCAGTGGACGCAGCGACCCATACTTGTTTTTTGCCAGTGAGTTTTTTGCAATACGTAAAGTACTTCGTGAAAATTTACTTGTCGAACTTTTTGAATGATGAAACCACAGACACCTATGTTTAGTGATATCTAACTCATGGGCAGACGTCCAAAGAGAGGAAACATTTTACTTTTTACAGTGATTTGATTTTATGCATGATCATCGTATGAATTCACTGATTTCGGAATGACTGTTTTCAGGGTAGGTTGAAAGACGGCACGATATTCGAGAGCTCACGACAACGTGATAAGCCATACACTTTCGTTCTTGGAACGGTGCAGGCGGTCAAAGGCTGGAACAAAGGATTATTGGGGTAATGACTGTACGAACGTGTGGCCTGTTGTAATCGAAACGCAGCCATTCATTCTGTTTGTACTTTAGAATGTGCGAAGGCGAAATAAGGAAGCTGGTAATTCCTTCCAGTATGGGTTATGGACCAAAAGGCGTGGCGCCCCTTATTCCAGGTAACGAAAGCAGTCACAGTTCGGGGTTTGCTTTCAGTGCATTGTTTTGCCTCGTTACACCACTTCTACTTTTTAGAAATGGCCGTACTTATTTCAGATGGTTAGTATGTAGAGTGGTGCAGTAATATTTCTTCTCAGTAAGCGTCATGGCATCATGCCTAAAAGTTGGGCTTCGAAATTTAGAGGTTCCGGGTTCGATTACGGCGGCGGGCTGTCTTTTGTTTTTGTCTTCACCATAAATTCTCATCAGCCAGGAATTAGTCACACCTTGTTTCAGATAAGGGTTGCTCAGTCGATAAAGCGTCGAACTCAGAACAGAGGTAATGGATTCGAGTCCTGGTCAGGGCCACTGGCTCTTCTTTCTTTCGATGTTGCCAAATGACTACCACTTTATGATAGGGCATTCGCTGTGCCGAATATCTGTGAGACCTTAATTCAGTGTTCTGTTAATCGCTTCGAGCGTATGATGCAGCTTGAACATTTAAAATATCTAATTCT